AACTTGAGTCTTTTGACCTCCACCCTCAGATATTGGGACTTCAGTCAATTTCTTAGCATAGTAAAAGCAAATTTTCTTTAAAAATGAACTGCTTCTCTACTTGCAACATTTTATCTCATTCAGTTCTGGAGAACATGGGAGAATTTAACATCAAGTCTGAATTTCTCTTTTGGTCTGTCCCTGCAAGCTGCTCTCACTGGCCATGTCTATATTCCTTTGACAGAGCAACATTCAAGAAACCATAATGACAGTGTTTTCTATCTCCCTTCTTTCCTGCAGAGGCACCTGTCTCTCCCATTGTATGTCTGACTGTGCCCGGTAGCACACCTGTCCACTGAGTTTGCCTGAGCAAACCTGATGGTTCATGGCCTGGAAAGGAGGCAAGTTCTATCTTTCCTATCTTGCTTTGACCAACCTTTCCTCCCCATCTCTACTTGGCTCTTAATCTGAGCCCTTCTGAACCTCCTGTCACCCTTTACTGGGCTCCTCTAAAATGCTCCACCCTGAGATTGTTTTGGATTCTACAGGCCGCAGAAAAAACCTTGAGTTTGTACATGTGTATGATTACCATGTGTTTTCATAAATGTCACGTCTCGATGAAAATATCAGATGTACGCAGTCATGACAGTCAATCACTTTACAGATTTTGTCTGTTCTGCTTTTTATATTTAATTCTCCCACAGGAGAAGCAAGTTAGAGTATACTTTTCATACAGTTATTGATTAAATATCTTCTCTAGTTATAGAATGCTGCTGAATTTAGTCTTCTGAAACTAACTGTACACAGACTTCATAAAGGAAGTGTTCAGAGGGCCCTTATATTCACAAAAAAATGAAACTTACAAATCAACAGATCTCTGTGGAGAGGTAAAAGATCTTGTTTGAAATCTGTCCCAGAAGCCTCCAACAACCCCAAACTATAATTAGATCCTTCTTGAAAGGCAACATTACCTAATTAATTTGGTTTAACAGATTTTCATGCAGCAATCAGAAACAACTGCAGGACTGAATTTTAGTTTAATAAAAATAATAATAATTACAGTTAATAATCACAAGTAAACTAACTTAATGTGAGAATTGTTATGCTACAGCATCATTCCTATCAAGCACTTTTTCATCAATATCCTTATCCTCTCCTTTGGTACTGTGCATGCGTATCTTCTTCTGTACCAATTTACAGGGGAGGCAGAGGGAAAAAATCTGAAATCATTTGAGGCAATCACTGGAGTGTGCTAATGACCTTAAATGCTCATTTGGGACTGTTTTTATTTGAAAACATTGCTCTAGGTTTACATTTAAGACCTACACAAAATTTAGGCTACATTTCATTAGCAAAAGCTAAAACCAGTTGGCAAGAAATTGTTCACTGGCTTGGCTTATTTCAGGTTCAGGATGGTATCTCCTTTTTGTGAAATGCTGGGAAACAGGATCAACCAATACTTCTACTGTTGATTCTGGAGTCTGGATTTTGGAAGATAATATATCATCCCAAGGAACTTCTTCATAGGCTCTAGATCAACAATAAAAAAGAAGAGAAAAAAGTTCCTATGTAATCATCAGTGAATGACATCAGTAGCTAGACAATAAGGAATTATGTGACAAAGAAGGAAGTAGAAAATAACAAAGGTGTATATTTCTAGCTTAAAGGGAAATTAAAAGCCTGGAATTATATGTTGCTTTCTGGAGAACAAACAGTTATGGTACAGTTTCACAGGCTTATCTTCTTTAAAACTTTCTCACTCGCTAATTGAAAGAGGTAGTTTATCTTCCAGCAAGTTTACAGTGATGATAGGTTTTGTCTGAATTTGAATAAACAGTTAAGTGAGATGAGACATAAATAGATATTAGACACCAGTCATATCATGCCTGTGACAGGCGTTGAAGACAGATGTACAGAATGCCTTTTTGGAAACTCCAGTTTCTCTTCACTACCTATAGAGGAAGTGGAGATGAGAGACACAGACTGGATGCAAGCTTTTAGACACCTAAAGTTTATGAATGAAACCTGTGCTAAATGCTGTTAAAACACCAGAAGTTCTGAGTGATAGAAAAATTGTAGTCTTATATGTCCTGCTACCTACAGGTGCATAATAGAAGAAAGAAGGTGAAAAAATGAAGCAAAGCACAAGCAAAAACTTTTTAAAAGAAATGGTGTCTCACTGTAGTGTATTTGACTTTAGAAATAGTCCCTTGCTTTTTTTTCTCTCCGCCTTGCTGAAGGATTCCTAAGAGAAATCAAATTCATGGCAGAAAGCAATGCTATCAACATATATGATACTATGATTGCTTGCTTAAAAAGTGTACTGTATGTATCTGCATTCTCCTAGTTTACGATCTTCTTTTGCATCAGAATGTGAAACATGCAATTTCACATACTTCACCAGCCAGCACTGGAGGTCATGAATGGATCTATTTCTGAGGAGTTTTACTCAGGAAGGAAAATTTAATACAGTGGATACAAGTTCAAAAACTAATAGAATGTCCTTGCCTCTCTACTCCTCAGGAATGTAGCTTTCCATTTGTTATATAATTTATAAAATGGCACAGCAAATGCACTTTGCAGTCCCTCACATACGCCTGATGTATTTGTATGATGTTCATTGCTATGAACTGTGTTCCTCAGGGCTCAATTCTAGGGTGAGTTCTGTTCAATGTATCTATCAATGGTCTGGATACAGGAGTTGAATGCACCATTAGCAAGCTTGCTGATGATACCAAGCTGTTGACTCTCTAAAGGGACAGGAAGCCTTGCAGAGGGATCTAGATAGATTGGAGCATTCGGCAATGATTAATGGGATGAAATTTAACAAGTCCAAATGTCGGATTCTGCACCTAGGATGGAGTAACACCAGGCACAAGTATAAATTGGGAGAGGAGTGGCTGGAGAGCAGCCCTGCAGGAAGGGATCTGGGGGTGCTGGCTGGCAGCAGGCTCAAGGTGAGCCAGCAGTGGGCCCTGGCAGCCAAGAGGGCAAACCCCTTCCTGGGGTGCATCAAACACTATACTGTGTTTATATATGACACTATACCAGCCGGTCAAAGGAGGTGGTCATCACCCTTTATTCAGTGTTGGTGAGGCCTCACTTTGAGTGCTGTGTGCAGTTCTGGGCCCCACCATTTAAGAAAGGTGTGAAGGTCCTTGCGTCCATCCAGAGGAGGGCAACAAAGCTGGCGAAAGGGCTGAAGACATGTCCTGTGGGGAGCAGCTGAGGAGTTTGGGCTTGTCTAGTTTGGAGAAAAGGCGGCTGAGGGGTGACCTGATTGCTCTCTACAGCTTCCTGAGGAGGGGAAGTAGGGAGGTGCTGAGCATTTCTCCCTGATATCCAGTGACAGGACATGTGGGAATGGTTCAAAGCTGTGCCAGGGGAGGTTTAGATGGGACACTGGGAAGCATTTCTTTACTGAGAGGGTAGTTCGACCTTGGAGGAGGCTTCCTAGAGAGGTGGTTGACACCCCAAGCCTGTCAGGGTTTAAGAGACATTTGGGCAATGCCCTTAACAACATGCTTTAACTTGGTCAGCCCTGAATTGGTCAGGCAGTTGGACTAGATGATCGTTGCAGGTCCCTTCCAACTGAAATGGTCTATTCTATTCTATTCTATCCTATTCTATTCTGTTCTGTTCTGTTCTGTTCTATTCTATTCTATTGTACTATTTAAGCATATGCAACACTTAAAGGACTCGTCAGTGTAGAAGGATGAAGGATGCCATTATACTTTCAGTGTGGGAAAGACTTAATTAGACCTGTGCTATGGAATCATTGATGTGTTTTGATTTACTTATTTGTTTGTGTCTTACACCAAAAAAGGCAGTGCCTAAGTATTAAATATATGAGTATTTATACCAAGTATGAGGTTTTGGTATCTTTTGTACATTCTGGTATTTTTGCTCTAACTCTGCCTCCCGTTACACATAACTGACATTGGTAGTATCAGTCCCACATTACAATCTGAATGCCTTAATCAGAGTAACAGTATAAAAAATGAAAATTATTGGAGTGATGGCCACCATTAAAATCTGATCATGCTAACATACAGCTACCTGAAGCATAGCCCTTATTTCAATACAATTAAATGAAGACTCATCACTGCAATCACTGCCAAAAGTATGTTAAATGGAAAGCGGACTAGGAATAAAATTATTATAATATGTTTTCTGTTATTACAAGAAGAGCACCAGACACTTGCCTTGAGACTGGGATCCATATAAAATGCAGAAATACGGTTTTGGTCAGGTAGAGCAGGAGTAACTTTCACTGGAGTTCTCCAACCTGAAAGAAAGGGCTTCCTATTGTGTTAATCAAATTGCAGCAATCCTTATTTTTTTAAACTGCATGGAAACAACTCATGGCTTCCCATAAAAATCAATGCACCAACGTTCAGTTACCTGTTACCACTCTGAATTACAAACTTCCACAAAAATACATTAAATTACATGGAAGATAAAAGTAAGTGATGAATAATATCACAACATACATTGCTATAGTTTGCCCCACTTCAGACATTGTCATGTACAGTAGTAACTGTATAAATGAAAGTATCCAAATTAGCAAACATAATAATAAAAGCTTGCTAATGTAACCCTAACTAGCAATGGCATATTGCATTTCTACAGTTACATAATCTTTGCCAACCCTGAAAGCAATAAACAAGCTATTCCATGAGCAGTAGGTGACCGATTTCCCAAAGATATTTCTCTCCTTCATCCTCCCAACTTCATATTCTAATAATCTGAGCACTCCCTGACCAGGTCCAGTAAATCAGGCTTACGCACCAAGAGGCCATATCCTGCAGTTACTGTAGAGTCACATATGTACTGATTGGTGAGCCAGTACACACGTGCTGATAACCAAGTGAGCTGCTGCCAAATAGAAAGATGTTATAATACCTGAGTTTCAGCTCCCTCAAGAAGAACACTCATTTTTGTCTTGCCTCTCCCCAGACTTCAACCTTCAAAAATCTTGCAATTACCCTTGAGATGTTTATATCTCTGTCAAATTTGGCAGAAATTAGCCAATGGGGTTAAAAGTTATTAGGGAAGAACCAATAGATAAACAAGACGAATGGAAACAACTTGTCTCCGTAGGGCATCAGGATAAAACCCCATAAAATAATTCTATAAATAAGGTAAGCGATATGTATGAGAGTATCATTCAAACTGCTGTGCCATTAATTAGCATAATGCTTTTGATGAGTTTGGGAAAGATCTATTTCTAAATATATTTTGTTATACTGTACTAAAAGGGGTTGGCAGCCACATAGCCATCATACCACTCTCTCTATGAACACTGGAAACTCTTATTTAGTACCAAGAATGTACTACTTAGGCAGTTTTCAGCCTGCTTTTTACTTCCAGACCCCTAAAAATTTCCAATGCATATGAAGATCTTTATGTAGCAAATTTAAGCTAATTCATACTAGAGCTACTTTTTCCAGTTATTTGTAGAAATTTTAGGTGTACTTTGGAGAAAGTAGTTAAAAGACTAAAGGTTGAAAACCACTGTGCAGAATGCAAAATCAGTACTTGCAGAACTAATCACCCTGACAAAGTTTAAAAGAAAACCACAGCTTTCAGTAAAAGAGATTAAGTTTAGCATCCTAATGCTGTAGGTAGGTACTGAAACAATATGACCTGTTTTTTAAAAGAGCTTTTTGCACAGTTTTATTGCTGCTTTTGAAAAGGTGACAGAATTTGTGGATCTTCGCACTGTGAAGAGCTTTCAAACTGCATCACTCTCCAATTAATTCTTTTGGAAAGTGTCTCAAACAGGTAACGTGCTTGCAGTAAAGACGGTGGCTGCATCTTCACTGCCTCAGCTTTGTGTAAACTTTAAATGCTATCTGCAATATACAACTTGTACTCATATGAGAATGTGTCCATTAAGTTTTATGTCTGAAATTGCTGTAATTACTTAATATGTACACATGAGGTAGATGGTTCAAATATATCCATCCATATGTCCTAGTAGTTCCATTAAAATAATCTTCCTCTTTTTCACTGATTAAAGAGCTAAAGGTTGCAACTGTTATTCCTTGTGTTTTATGTGTAAAACACTCATGTCAGTGACAACATCCCTAGGAGGACATGTATATAATTTTACATTTGCTTTGGTAATTGTACATACTGATTTCTAGAGACCTCTGCTGTGTACTATAATTTGCCAACTTGACACTACCGGCCTACTGCTGGGATGATTAATCTTCTAACATTTACTTCTCCTTTTGCTTTCAGTGGAAAGATCTAGCATAAAAACGGCAATAGTTTTCTCTTTAAGTCATCTTTCTGGAGGTTTCAATGCCCCTAATGATTTGCTCAGTCCACAGGATTGAAATTGGCATGATCTGTTCTTGTCCAAGTTGGGAACTCAGTGTCTTGGCTTTGTCACTTTTAACTGATGACAAGCTTAGCGTCACTGTCAGTTTCAGTTTATAACTTAAGCCAATCTCCTAAATTGACAAAACAGGATAATGAATTTGGGAAATTTCTGGTTTGGATTCTGAGTCATAAAATGAAGATGTACTCATGCACGTTTCTAAGCTGTTTCCCAGAAACCATGAAAGCCAGAACATCTTTTTGTTTTGTTTTTAAAGGAAAAAGTGAGATTCTTATGTCGCCACATAAAGACACACTCAGAGAGGTTTCACAAAACCAGCAGTCTCACAAGCTTCATTGCACCTCACTGTCGTTCAGAAACTGTGCACTGTTTTTGACCTCTTATATTACCAAATTAGTAGGAACAGGACTTGACATTCAAGTTCAGATTTTTGCCCGTGTTCATTTCAGGTGTGTCTCTATCTGCCAGGGTATCTCTCTCTGTCTGATTTTCTCTGCGTTGGAAAAATTAATGGTCAGCTAGAATTGCACATCTCAAATCTTGTTTCCCCTTCACTTTTCCAGAGGCTTTCAGAAAAGAACAGCTGATCAATTCTGATTGATCTCTGATGTCTAATTCCATATGTAAATGGAGAACACAGTAACTGAGAAATAAGAGTGAAAATTATATGGGATGAGGAAAGCAAAAAAGGAAAATTATTGAGTCCATTTTTTTATCCCTTGTGGTTTCTTGGGTTCTTTTGGGTTCTGTTGTATGACTGCAGTAAGCCTAAAGTGACTTAGGATGCAAAGTTCAAAGACAGAAACAAGGAGCTGAAAACACTGCCTGAATTTACACCATGTAGAGATTTTATGGTGACAGTAACACAAAGTATAGCTAACTATGAAGTATGAGTGTTATCTCAGTATAGTAAAATGGAACAAGGAGCTTATTTATATTTCTTTACCATGTTCTAAGAAATGCCTCCCCCCATCTATGAGCAAGTTGCCTGAGTTCTCATGAAATTTTCTTCTAGCTGTAATGAGCATTTCTCTATGAAATTCACTGGAATTGGCTTAATCTTTATAAAAATTCAACCACATTGCTTACTGCTAATTATGTCTGCCATTAAAAGCTCTGGCTAGATATTTCTGCTTTACAGAATTTTCATCAGAAAATGTTAAAAAGAGTGAATTTCCATTTTGGTGTTGTAATCAATACAAAATCATGAGACCCAACCTTATGTGTAACACATTAATATAAAATAAGGGAGTAATATGTACTTTGACCAACATGTGATGAAAGGCCTGAAGAACTTCTGTTCTCTGATAAACTAGGCATTGGAATAGGTCTTTAAAAGCACTGAACTGCAACTTGTCAGGAAATAATGAGAGACACAGAAATATCCAGGGGATTTCCCGACTCTGGAGTGACTTGTTATTTTGGTTTACATTAAAACAGATGTTCATTATTATGACTATCATATATAACTTCACAATTTATCTAAACAGATTTTTTTAAAACATTATTTACCTTCAAAGATTTTTTTTTTTTTTTTAGCATTAGAATGCTCATTAGAATTTTCTGACTGGTACCTCTTTGCTACAGCAGGAGCAATGAATCATACACTCTACTGCAGTTGTTATATTCAGTTCACATATCCAGAGCAAATATGTTTTATAAGGCTGTTCTTTCAGGACCTTGGGGAATGGAGTTCAGAAACTAATTGCATTTATTTGTTAAGCATCACCAATTTCTTTAGTGATTGAGAAATAAAATTAGTGGTTTGCTTAACCTCTGAGTCGTGCCCTGACAGAAACAGCTGACACAGCCCTGGCATTCCACCTTCTGTCCACGCTGGTTTCCTCCAGGAGGATCATCTGCCTCCTGTGGGCAGGCTGGCCTCTCTTTCCTGTGATAGGGACCACTGGTGAGGTTTCCAATCGCTGTAGTCCACCAAGGACTCAACAGCTCTTCCAACACTGGGCCGCAGGTCAGCATCTACTCCTGGACTCACAAAACCTGAGCAGGGACCCATTAACGGCACATCATCCTGGTGAGGGAATAAAGGGTAGTTCAGCTGTAGTGGAGGGGTAAATGCATCAAATTTAAGGAAAGAATTACTGTTTTTCTCTTCAGAGCTGGCAAAGCCATGTCTGTTCTCAGGACCCTTCAGAACAGGCATGCACATCTTCTTTAACAGCTTCGATACTGTTGGTGATCCATCTTGTGAACTGGTTTAACTGACAAGGCGGACCTTTTAAAGGCACTTGCCTGCCTTTCAGCTCCATGGGAAACCACGGTCATTCTGTTCCATCATCCTTATGTGGCACTAAACTTAAAAGACTCCACTTGCTCCTTGTGTCTCCAAGTTTCTGAAGTCCTAGCCAACAAACTGCAGTAAAACTGAAGGTTATCCTCCAGAAGATCAGTACATAGAACCCATAAAGAGCAAGCTAGTGGTTTAAGTAGTGAATTCATTCCTGAAAAGAGATTTATCAAGTCCGGTACAAAAAGAACAGAGCCATTGAATGAGCAGAGAGTTTTTCTGTTGCTTGGTAACGATGGAAATCACCTCACAATAAACATCTCCTGGTGTGAAACATGGTTCATGCATACCACAGTAATCTAGTCCTTCAAATGGATACACATAGCAACTTGAAATGGCACTACTAATTACTTATTCATCTAGTAGAGGCAAAATTAAGAAGTTTTCAGTCTTAAGAAGTTTGTGGTGTTTTCATTGAAGTATTTTAAAGTAAGCTATTCTGTTGGTATCTGGATCACAAATATGAATTGAATTGAAACACAGATTTAACACAAACAAAATTTATCAAACACAACTGCAGATAAATGCAAATCCAGAAAACTTACAACTATTATTTGGAATAAGTAAATCACATTGACACCAGAGTTTTCCATGCAGCTTAATTTCCTCCAGAGTTTTGCCATTTGTTCTACCAGGTTGGCAAATCCATTAATGCCTCAGGTCAGAATATGCAGCACTCCTTTCTTAATCTCAAACTCGATGGTCTTCATTCAGCAATCTAAACAAAAGCAGTTTGATGTATAGAGGTCTTGTCTGCACGAATTCAATGCAAAGGCCTGGCACTTCGGAAACATCAAACTACATTTATTTCGACAGCGCAGTTCACACTATGGGGGCCTTTATTTTGTGGCCGTGTCAGGAAAAATCAGGGCACAGAGTCTGACTGTTCTCTCATTTATGTTAGTCTCACACAGATTTAACTTCCCTGAATTCCTAACTTGCTCTTGATTAACATGAAATCGGAAATGAGCCTAACATTTATTACAGTACACATTTATAGTAACAAAAAGTTGTGTTCCATAATGCAAAATCATGGGGGGGTAGGGTGTTGAAGTAGTTTGCTGATGAAGCAGAAAAAAAAAAAAAGCTTCCTTCTTTGCTAAGTGAGTTTTCATATATAGGTCACGAGAACTAAAACGGGTAAAAAGTGACAGCTGAGAACATTGTATATGCAGTACCAGCATCGTATGAACTCTTTGTCCGACACATCTTGTGTCCACTTTCTATCATACTTGTACATTCAAGTTAGTGAAAAGCTATTTCCAAAATTTGATTTCTGCCAGTAACAAGCCTTTAAAATGCCATACTGGTGTCTATATTTACTGACACTCAGTAATCTCCATACCAAATATAACCAATTTTACACTAGAAATACCATCCAGTGTTGCAGACTGACCTTTTTTCCCCACTGTTTATCTTCTCCTGCAAAGCTTTAGAAACAGATGGCAGGAGAGGCAAAGACATGGAACCCAGGTAAGGCACAGGATGGAAGACATTGCAAGGATGATTCATGTTTTGTTGCATTCGTTTTGCAGAGTGAAACGCAATTAAAACTTTATCTTGGATTTTGTTGGCAGGGATTCTGTCTAGATTACCCTGGGAAATAAATTTGCCAAGTAAGGCTGAATTATTTCTACTGTCAATTTTTAGAAGCGACCCATGCTTTAGGGAAGCACATGGATGAGCTGGTCGTATGTCTAAGCTAGTCCTCTTTACTAGATGTCTGCCTTTTGGTTTGCTTCAGGATTCCTGTGGAGCAATCGTCTTGGTTCTTTGATGTAAACAGCTGTTCTCTGGCACAGTAACAACACACCAAATTTTCCAATAGGGTGAAATTTTCCTGCCAGAATTCATTTGCTTCCCAGGTAACTCACTTTCTCCCCTTCCATTCTTTCAAAATACCCTTTCTCTAACCTACTACAAATTAAATACTCTTATGCCACGGAAACCTGCAAATGCCCTGGGATTCCAGACACTTTCTTAATTGCCTTTGTGTAGCAGCGCAATCAAGACTGAGCAGCGCAGCTGTAAGTGCTTGTGACAGTGACTACATCAGCACAGTTCTTTGGTTTTGCAGCGGAAACTTCCTTGCTTTTTTTGTTTGTTTGTGGAACAACCACAGCGAGCATGAAGCAAGTTCTGTGTACCTTTGGCCACCCCCAGGTGCAGTCTGCACCATCGCGGGCCTGGTTTCAAAGGAGCTGCCCCTGGAGCAGAGGTGCGTTACTGGATTGGGATTAATGGCGTATAGCCGAGCAGCTGGACGACTGACGACGGAGCTGCCGCGGTGGCAGATGTTTCCCTGGGGTTTGAGGATGTGAAAGCCGCCCCCGACCCTCTTTCGCCAGAGGCCCAAGTGCAGAGCCTGGCACTGCGGCTGGCGGACTGCCGACGGAGCTGCCGCGGTGGCAGATGTTTCCCTGGGGTTTGAGGATGTGAAAGCCGCCCCCGACCCTCTTTCGCCAGAGGCCCA